AGCATTGTTTCAAGCTTCCTGCTTTCCTTTGGCCATGACTGGATAAGTAGTAAACAGTTCAAGAGTCCTCTTACCAAACAGAAATCATTGGTCTAAACTAAACCCACTTCTCTAACCCAAATTTAGTTTCAGCCCTTCTAAGAGTTAACTTTGCACAAACATGCTTTTTGCTGGAAGAGGTTTTACCTCTCTGTAACTGATGCAAAACCATATCCGATAGCACCTATTTTAGCGGTAAACTGGCTAACGTAACGCGAGCCCCTGTCCACACCTGACCACAGCAAACTGGGAGTGCTGGGCGAGCTGGAGGTGGGCAGATTCAGCGTGAGCAGCCACGTCTGGAGCCCTGGCCTCACCACTCAGCGCCAAATGTCTGCAATCGCTCCCATCCAAGGCAGTGATACCAACGGCACTGCGGATGAAAGTCTCACAATTTATTGAGAAAATGACTGTCACATGAAAGAGTAACAGGATAGAGTGTAGGGATGCTATGCTGCTTTCTCATGTATTTTAAAACATTATTTCCTGTGAAATACCACATAGAGAGGCAAGTTAGACTGTATTGCAGGTGGGAAATTGAATTTAAAAGAATCTAGATGGATGTTTGTATTCTGATTTTGTTTGTTTTGCAAAATGACATGTTTAAGAACCAGCTGTTAAAATGAAAAATGAATTATGCTGGGGTCTGGACCCACCGTGTACATCTGCCACAGGAAAGTCTGGCATGCTGGGCCAGGAGATGTAATTTTAAAAAATTCTTATTCCTTAGGAAACACAAATTAATTCTCCTCTAAGAAAGAAGGGCAAAGTTTTCCACACTGCTGGCAGTTTTGCATGCTAAGCAGCACTTGCTTCATGTATTGTATACACAGAGGGTCACATTCACTGCAGACTTAAGCAAACAAAATCACATTAAGGGGGATAATCTCTTTTTCTTTCAGCTATAAGCAAACGGACATAACAATGTGTTTATATTCGTAAATACAAAGTTTGAAAACATAAAAGAAAATACTGTATGGTCAGTTTATTATCAGTTTCTGCTGAGGATCTTTCCAAGGGCCAATCTGACCTAAAATATACAGGTTTTTGGAAGTTATTCAAAAACAAATTATGTCAAAGCTAGTTAAAAATTACGCCACATTTCCTCCTCTTGGGCTTTACAGAGTTGTTTAAAATCCAAATGTCTATGCATTACCCCAAACTTTTATCATGAAGAGTTGAGACAAAGCTTCATCGTACGCCAATATTTAAACAAGAGCAAAATCTGATTAAAAGCTTCAATTAGAAAAGTTAAATATTTCATTTACTGCTGGTTCAAAACAAATTAATGGGATTGTATGATTGCAGACACCTGCCCTGCTTCCTACCCCACGTTCCTCATCTACGCCGTCTCCGTGTGGTCCACTCCTGGAGCACAGAAGTCTCAGTGATCATGACTACAGATTTTCAGCCATCATGGTACATGCAGCTTGCTCCCACAGAAGAGCAGCTGTCCCTCAGTTATTTTACTTTTACAGAGTGCAGGTGTTAGTGGACACCACGTTAACCTGAGGTATGTCTTGCGCTTGCAGCACCGAGACCATGTGGAAGAACTGCCTATGGTAAGAGGAAATCAAGTCTACGGTAAATGAAAGAAAGATATAAACCCTGAGGCTGGAGGAGAAAGGTCCTGTGGCAGGATGAGCTGTTACCTTACCTCTCATAATACAAAGTGTCAAACACTTAAAACAAAAGAAGGTGAATTTTCTTGACCTGTGATTATTTTCAGATTATTTAGTAATTTTGACAGGACTGGGTTTAAAACCTCAAACAACTAAATTACACTGGGGAGAACAGAAAGGCTGGTTAATTCCAAGTTTCTGAAGGCAACTTGGGCCTTGATTAAACAAACTTCAAGACTAACAGAATTTTTTTTTTTTTCTTCCCCAGAAGAAATTATAACCGGGAAATTGATCCAAAATTAATCCAGGAAGCCAAATTTCTTCCAAACTAAGACAGCGAATGAACTGCCTTTTGCCTGATTTAGAAGCACAGAGGTAAACACTAGCGACAATTGGTGCATTTAAACACTGACAGTTTCTCTGTCACCATCATCTGCTATGTGTGAAAGAAAAAAAGATTTTTCTCTGTCATTGATTTATCCAGGTGTATGACACATTACTATTTTTTTCTTTGCAAACGATCTCTGATAAGAAACTAAAAACGGTGATGGGAAACCAAATGAGACCATCAAGGTGTGACGTTTAAAAATCAGCCTCAGATTTTTTTCAGTCCCATTGAAGCACCTTTGCTAAAAGGCCATCTCATGTCTCAGAGACACAGAAATACAGCACCTTGGGGAGCCAACCCTCGCACAAACCAAGGTGTCATGAAGTTCATGGCCTTCTGAACACGGTCAGCTAAGTCCATACATACCAGAGCTTCCTCACAGAAAGATCTGGAGGAGTTATTTTACTTCTAGGATATCTGGTAAGACATATTCTTACTTGTTTATCCAGCCTTCCATATTAAGACTCTGATATCAGAGTTGGATAGCGAGTATATTTAAATGGATCAAAATAAAGATGGATCTACCCGATTCTTCTAGAGTGGTTTCAGAACATCTCACCTGGTCTCCACGTAATGCGTAAAGCAGCCACATACATGGTAACTGTAGGGGTATGTGAATACCAATAGCATCGGAGATGATGGGAAGCGATTAAACAGTACGCCTGGCCGAGGGAAGAGAGCATTTCAGCAAAATGACTTCCAGAAATAGGGAATAACGTGAACATTTCAGAGAATGGATGTGGAAGTGGAGTCTACCACAGTCTTCTGAGAATTTCACTATTATCAGAAAGAGCTTTTTGCCAACAAGTGAAATGAGAATATTTTGATGCAGATTTTATTCTTTGCCATGACACTGAGACAGAATAGATTTATTTTTTTTACTTCTAACAACGTTCAATGGCCTGAAAATGGTTAACTAATGATACTAAAATCTGTATTTAAAATGTAATTCAGTTCCGTAATTATATTTCTTATGCATGGAGACAGAAATAAACTAGAGGAAGCACCTATTAGTCCTTTTGCATGTATAATTGAACACGTTTGATATTACTAGGTAACCTTTGTAAGTAACTGGCTTTGAGTTTATGCAAAGAGGTGAACACTTTGAATACATAAATAACAATAAGAGCAGATAGGTTTTTGATTTTGTATTCTGTTCTTTTCTTGTTTGTGTCTGTAGATGCAGTCAGACATCCCTGGCTTTATTTGGCCATCATAGAAACATCTGAAAGATCTGACTTTTGCATCATTTGGGTGCAGTAATGAATAAGAACTGACATCAAATATCAATATTATTGGCCCAGCTAAATGGTAGCTGACATCCAACTGGACTGCTGAAGAGGTAAACAAAATTGAAATTTTGTTTTTGTTTAAAAACTGTCTGACATTATTTGTCCTTCAGTAAATCAATGGAAGAATGACCTAAATGCTGTTTGCATTTTGGCTTGGGGAGGTAAAATCGGGTAGTTGCTATCAAGCATATTTTTTATAGTCTTTTAGGTTTTCCTAATATAAACTGTAATTCCAAAACCACTTTTTTGTTTTAAGGAAACTTGGTAACCTTTGTAATGATTTCTTAACCTGCAGACATCATACAAACACAGCATGGCAGATACATACACAGGTGAATGATAATCATACTCTTATTTAAACACAAACACATAGACACACACATAAGGGAGCAAGTTTTGTTCTACTTTAAATTCATAACGATATAACCAAGCATCTATAGTCTTCATACTTAATTAGCATAGGTGATTTGCCAAGCTGGGAAAATGCTGTGCAAAGTATGTGCAAAACTTATTTCAAATGCTACTTAGGCCATACTTAGGTTTTACAATACATGCCAATGTTCGAGAACAGATCACCATTCCTTGTATGAATTCTACTGCACGAAATGGCATTGTTTTTCCCTAGTTATTGATAAAACCATGTACTAATGTAAAAATGTTAGTGCTTTGATTTTTCATCTTTGCATGAATTATGCTGATGCATAACATCCTCTCTGTAATCATCCACAAGTCAGAAGGAGAGGGCAGAGCTGACTTGGACAACCCTGCCTTGATGTCCAGATGTAGGCACTTTGTTAGCCAAGGGGCTCCCACCACCACCTTTTGCCCACTGTGAGCCTACATTTGTGCAGTCATACGGAATCCAACAATTAAATGGGGTCAATTCGAATCCTGGTAACATTAAAAAACTGGGGAAATCACTTTGCCTCTTAGGTGCAGTATCTTTACCTTCCCAGGTAAAGGTATGTTCACATTCACATGTATCTTTTACTGTACTCGGAGCCTTTGAAGAGAATTGGAACACACAGAGTAACCTATAAAAATCCATTCTTACAAGCACACGCACATAATTCTACTCAAAGGCTTAGCCCTCAGTGGAAAAGAAACATCTGAAACATTTTTCTCTACATAGTTGTGTTATGGGGACATGGGAGTAAAAGGGTTGGTAACATTAACTTTTAGGAGGAAAGATGCATTTTTATATGGCTTCAGCTCAAAAGCAGCTATGTGAATTTTGCTCAAATTTTGTCAAACTTTCCACAGGCAGAGAACCAACTTGGAAAACTGCAGAATTTATATGCTGCTGAAAGTACTATCTTTTAAGCCCTGACATCACCACAACTACAGAAGTTTCTATCGGGGGAGTGTGACTACCCACCAGATTCTCCAGAGAGCTTGTGTCCCAGGAAGGCAGCCTCCAACAAATGGCCATGGTTCAGGTGCCAAATTGGCAGTTATGTTCCATACAACAATTGCTAATTATGGACTCTGAACACTATTAAGAGTTCTGGCTTTAAACATCACCCACTTAACAAAAAATTATTAAGTAGTTTCAGAAGCATGGTATAGTAAATAACTCAGATTTAAGCAGTTTCACAGTTTAATGAAGATTTATTCAATTTGTACAAATGTGTTATTCTTTTTTTCCTTCTTCCTCATATATTACTCTTCCTCTAAAATACGCGTTACACGCTGCCTGGATGGCGCTCTGACCTAACTGGAAAATTTGTTCTTTTTTCTTCTATTTTCTCTACAGGACATTGTGCAATTAGAATTTCATGTTCTTTCAAAACTCCTTTGGGCACCAAGCAGCCTGCGACATGACTGTCACAAGCCCACTGAAGTGACTTAGGAGCCCACTTATACTGACCTATATCCTACACAGAAAAAGGAGTGAATCTCTTGGGATCTTTTACCATTACAGAACTGCACCCATAGAATCTGACCCTATAGAGAAAACTTCTGACAAAGCATGGGATCTGCAGATCTGTGACATCAGGAATAATAAAAAAATAAATATATGTATATTTTTTTAAAAATTCAAAGTAGGTTTCTGTAAGCGATCAGCATTCTGTTTGGCCATTTCAGACTTAAGAAACCACTTTTCCAACAAATCTTTGCCTGGCTGCAAAGCTTTTTTGGCCAGGTCTAACCATTGGGCTTTCTGTCGGCCACTCTGGAAGTGATACTGCACCTTTGTTCAAACAGTCCAAATCTCCAAAATCTTTCCAATAAAAGTATTTTTGAGACTACTAATGTTTCTACAAAAAACTATTTTCCTCATAAAACATGCAGCTTTTAACAAAAAGATTTAACAACAAAAAAAAGTCACTCAAAACATCTTAACTAACTGGCTTAGGGTGGAATACTTTAGTTTCTTAGTGAGCAAACAGCAGAGGGTAAAAGAACAGTTCTTTGGTTGAAATACAGCACTTGCTTTGCTAGCCAACCAATGTGACAGCTATAACTTGTACCACTCAGGACCAGCTACTTAGTCTTTTCAGTAGTTTTCCAGTACATACAGAGTTAATTTATATAACTGCAATTACAGCTTCTGAAATTATATTCCTCACTCAGTTTAATCAATGCTGCACTGGATGTTTCCATTTTTACTAATTCAATCATTGAGAATGTCACCCAATGATTTTAGTCTAGAGTTTAATGCCACCTATAATATTCTTTATCAAAATAACATGCTTATCTGGAAGATTATCAACACACAGTCTTTCAGCTTCCTGCTAATCATTATAGGTCACATTAGAGCATGAGGCTCTTTGTAAATACGTTAAAGACAGTGTTATAGTATTGCCATAGTATTTCCCTCACAATTCTTGCTGCTGTTGAATATTCTTTGTTCTACACTACAGTGTTTCAAAATACTGAGAGGCAGGTTGTGCCTATCAAATATACAGATACACGCACGCGGCCAAGAAAGAATTAAGATACTTTAGGAATTCCTAATCCCCTCCTCTTATCTAAGATTATCCCAGACTTCCTGCTACCCCTCCGGTTTACCCTATAAACACATAGGGTTGACATAAGCAGTTGGTAAAGCAGTAGCTGATACTGAACAAGAGGAGAATATTCAGGATATCCTACAGTAAAAATCAGTACCTTCCTCTGCTTGTAATGATGGCGGCAGTGAGAGCACAGGGAGCATGAACACTGTTGAGATGTTTCTCAGGAAAGATGGTACCTAAGAGAAAAGAGTGCAAGGGGTAGCAGAAACCAGCATATGCCTCACCACTTCCACACCAGTTTTAAAAAGCAGTGTGGCTGGAAGAGCTGGAAGAACCATATGTCACAAATGTTTTGATCATTTCAGAATATTTCATATCACCTCAAAGAAACATTTTGGAAAAATTACTTCTCTTCCAAAGTTCCCATCCCATTCAGATCACAGTCTGTTACCAACCCCAATCAAAATTATCCTTTTTAGACACAAAATTAACCATCCAGGCAAAAAACCAAACAGCAAATTTCATTTAAAGTAAGTAAATGATCATAACAAAGGAGAATGGCTTAAATACCAAGATACCATGCACTGATCAAAGGAGAAAGGAGGTAGGCACAGGAGAGGACAGCTTTATTATAACAGTCTCTGGGACTCTGCTCTGTGTGCGCTACAGTGAACCGATCTAGAAGTCATTGATAATAGTGAATTCAGCTGCAGAGGTATCCTATTTCACCAAAGTGCAGGACAGTATTTACCAGAGCAAGGAACATGATTAAAAAAAAAAAAAAAAGGAAATCCATATGAAATCCGTAAGCAGAATTTACCTTCATATTGAATGTAGCATGATTCTAGGAATGCAGGTGACCGTAGAATGTGTAAACATGGAGACTCTAGGAATTAAACATAAAAAGAAAGCAATTAAATAAGTTCTAGTGATATAAATTATTCTATACCCTTGTAAACAGAAAGACCTTGATTTTATGGTTGCGTGCAAACCAAGGTGCTAAAAACAACTAGGTTGCTAGAAGAGGAACCCATTTCTCACAATTACTAAGGATATATCTCCTTACTTCACATAATAGCTAGCAGAAAAGGTGCATTCAGATATCATGAAAAAAAGCCATCTCCTCGCCAGAGGGTTTGAATTGGAAGGTGTGATCGCTGCTTCCAAAAGACTGAGCTCTTGCTCTTAGGCAGTGATTCAGTACATGTCTCTCGATATTCCACACACACCATTAAAGCCTTCCTTAAGGAATCACAAGCATGAAATCAAAATTAATTATCTTTTGTCATCTTCCACATTGGTCTGTAAGCGACCTGCATAGTGCAGTAACATATGTCAGATATCATGACTGATATCTGACTTGTTCTCCCAGTACAGGAGGCATCCAACCACAGTATCTCCTGCTAAAAAAAATTAAGTCTTCAAGATGGGAAGACAGAGGTATTACAAACAGATGTGCTTCTCTGTTTTTATAAAAATCACTAGTTTCTTGGGCAACAGTAACAAAAAAGCTTTCTATTAAAAGTGAAACCCAGCTTTGAACAGTGTAATCTTTCACTCCAAGAAAACATTTTATTGACACTGGAATCGAAAGACAATTTCTTGCATTTTTCTGGAGAGAAGAAAAAAACCCCAAACCAAGATCTGAAATTCCTCTACTCATCCCAGTAGTTCTTCTTTGTACTTATTCCAGCTTGAATCAATCTCTCGGGAGCTGGGGTAACATAGGTTAATCATACCTCTTTCATGCTGTTAGGGTTTCTACTATCAGCTTAATTCCATTATTATTTTCCCAATCTGAAAAAAAAAATAAAAATACATACACATATCTATATCTCGCTCCTCCTCTGATGTAACATATTTGGATTATCTTTTTCTCTGACAAAACCTCCTACATTTTTATCATCAGCATGCTTTATCAGTATATTCTCACTATTTGCAACAAGTCCTTTCAGGAAAGTAGTTAATGAGGTTTGACCACAAAGTAATTCTGGAGCGACACTACTCGATAATACTCTGTAGTTCATATTACATATCTGAACCATTTAGGAGAACTCAGTCCAACAAAACAGCAGTAAAAGGGGATTAGATTGCTGTTGTAAATATCTCAGGGGTTAAGAGCAAAGAGGGAAAAGAGCTATTGAAGCTGAAGAGCAGTGCTGATGCAGGAACATATGGGTATTCATTATCTGCAGATAAATTTCAGTTGGAAATTAGAAGACAGTTCTCAACCAGTGAGATACGAAAACTCCCCTCCACTCCAAGTAGTGGGGATAAAAAAAAAATAATCTCATTAATTGTAAGAAGCTGCTCGAGAAGTCTGGAAATAAATGACCTTCTCCGTGATCTTGTCCCTGAACTTGGAGACCAAGGAGACTCGTTCCAGTCTTGTTCATACGGCATTAGAATACAAATCTCTGATAAAGCCCAGCATTTAATGCTTCACAGAATTCCTTTTGTTAAAAACTGTCACCAAAAAGAGACAGCAGTCTACTTTGTCAAGCACCATGTTGTATCTTACAGTATTTTTTATTTACCTTTCTGTCTGGAAGTAGTCTCTGCTTCGAGGCTGCATATACTATTGAGATCAAACTAGGAAATTACTATTATTCTCACGGAAGGATTGCAAGACAAACATAACAAGAAAAAAAGGGTCTGGACTATTAAAAGCAATTTGCTATCTTTAGAGAGCAAGCACACCATCCACTTTAGCATGAAAAGGTTGCCAGAGTGCAGTTCTTGAGTCCTCCACAGTTTTCAACAGACTTAGGGGGGGGAAAAGTGCTAAAAAAACTCCACGGAAAATACTTGTATATTTACATGATTTCTAAATAATAAAATCTCAACCAATAAGTCCTGATAAAAAAGAAAATTTAAATAATTATTATCCAATTATAAATTCACTGTTTGAATAGAAATGCGATTACACAAAATTCCCAAGATACTGACAGACAAATTAAATTTGATAATAATAACATAATAGGCAAATATAACCAAACACATAAGAGCAGTCTAGCAAGAAAAAAATTTCAAGGACTTAATATCTACCTTGTGGCCTAGCAGCAGTATCAATTGTACCCAGTCCATGGTAACAACCCAAAAGTTGGTGCATGTTAGCCCTTGTAAAATAACTGCTGTTGCTCAGCAGGGCATAGTATTTACCCTCAGACACTCTCAAACAACAACATATACACAGTAATCTTTCCACAAATACAGAAAAAGCATGCTATCACAAACCAAAAATAAAAAGAAAATCACATGGACACTGTGCCACAAAACTAACGTGAACTTTCTGATTTCCCTTCCATAAGTCAATTCAGTATAAACCACCTGAAAAGGACTTTTAAAAGAGTAATAATAATAATAAACATTAAAAAAGCTAGACAAAGCCAATGGTTCTGTAAAGTGTTTCTCAATACTAGTGCTGAAACTTAATTTCCAAAGTGCCACTTTATTTTTATTCAATGCACAGCTAGTGTTTCCTTTACCAACACCATGAAATCTGAGTTTTGCAGACATAGATGCCATAAAAATAAAACTTGAAAGCTTACCATTTAGCTGTAATGTCCCAGCAAAACCAAACAGTAATAAATATTCTCTGGATCAGAGCGCATGTTAAGATAGCACTGAGCTTTCAGCATCAAGAGCTCAGCAGTAAGTTACTGATACCCCTTTTGCACATGCATTCTGCTTTTCAGTCTTTAATTATAAAATAACCTACTGTAACACCACCAAGACCCCTGCTTCATTCCATGTGGAACTGAACCAAGTGTGAACAGGGTGTCCAACTCCCAGGCTTAATATCCCTTGAAGCGAAGTTTGGAGCATTGCTTCTTCAGGGGAACTTCACTGGAGCACCTTGCAAATTGGTCCTTAGCTTACTAACAGCTTCTTATCATCCAGGAACCAGCTGTATGTATCTGCCCATTTAACTGAATTTCTTTAAGGTTCAAGACGAGCAGAGGCAAACATCTGGGACTTGTATCACAAGAAAAGAGCAGAGGAAAAATGAGGAGCTTGTCTTCACATTAGGGGAGATGTCCGTTAAGGAAAATTACCTTCAAGGTCTCACTGACCATTACCCTGCTGACAGAGATAACATTATCACAAATTGAGAACAGGAGAAACAACAAAACGTCAGAGCAGAACTCTGCAGCTGTAAAAAGGCCCATTTTTTCCACATTTAAGCCACAGGGTCTATCCAGTCTCCTTGCATATGACATGCTAGCAGTATAAAGGGCAGTAAATTATGGAGAATACATTATTGTTAACTGAGTTATCAGGTCTTGATTGAAATATTAATGGAGGAAATCTCAGTTCTATTCACTCCTTGAGCTACTGCCCAATTACATTAATAACCACACATTCTTCCTCTGCAGAAAAGACAGATAATAGCAATGTTCAAAAAAACCCCAAAATATGAAGTGTTCTGCATTGTTGTTTTTTTTTTTTTTTAAAAATGATTATTCACACATGCACACACACATATAATTTTCCATTTTGAAACCCAGAAATTAACATTAGAATCAGCAGTTAGAAACACCGTGGCATTATGTTATGGAGCCTATCAACCTCTCAGCTTCCACTGAGCACAGACATTAATTTCCTACCTTGGACTGGAGCTATCTAAAAGACTTTTTTTAAAAAATGAAATCCAGTATTTTAGAAAAGCAGCCTGACCTTTGGAACTATGGATCTGTGAACAGTAATTCTGCTGCAAAAGTAGTTAAACAAGTAACCTAAATTCAAATGATTTTTTATTCTTACTTTTACAGGATAAAAGCCCAAGATTTTGGAATCAATAGTGAAATTCTGCTGTAAATCCTCCCTGTTGTGTCCATATAGATACACAAATACCAGGGCAAGACAAGACAGGCTGAAGACAATCATAATTAATATACTACAGCTTCTTTGCATTGGTAGAATTAAGTTCAACCATTAACTATGTAACAGAGCAGCTGAATCTTCCTATACTTATTTTAGTTACCAGTTTAGCAGCAGCAGCAACAAACTCCCAAACCTAACAAGCCATAATTCAAGCACCTCTGGAACAAACACACAACCAAAACCTGTTGAGCATCATTTAAAAACTACTCATGTTTTTTTAAACTCTGCCGGTTTGGTTATTTTTCTGGACTTTGAATGCCCCGCTATACATGAAAGTCTGACATGAACAGACTTTACCAAGTTCAAAAATCAAGATAACAAATCCATTAGATGAAGCTGAGCCTAATATATTAGGTGCAATATGTAATTATCTTTATTAGTGTGGTATGATATGAGCTTTTAGATAGAAACATCCAAGTATGTGCTTTATCTAAACAGTATTCAGATAAAAGATTTATTTGTAATTTTTTGGTTCATTTACAAATTAACTCAAAGAAATATGTTCATTTAGAAGGACTGAACTAAAGAAGGTATGTGAACCATAAAGCACTCAACAGTGGAACTCTTCACCTAATTGTCTTTATTAAAACAAAAAAAACCCAACAGTTTTTATGAAAGGTTTAATTTCACTGGGGGTAGGGAAATAGTATCTTGAATGAAACTTCTGATCTTACATAGGTAACGTTTTTCCAGATACTCAAATAATCTAAAGCTTAGGAAGGTCACTTCACTAGACTTGAACTTTTCCTAAAGCAAAAGTCATGCTAAGTGGACCGTGATGACTGGCTATGGACTCACTGGGGATGGTCTAACCTTTCTTGCAATTTCCCTTGCTGAATATGGCCAAGGACCTCCCTTTTTACAGCAAAATTAAAAGCATGACTCCTGCTCAAATCCTTGCCTTGTTCACAACATGGTCTGCCTGCGTTTTGCATCAGCAAGGCACTAGCAAGCTTGGAAGGAAACGCATGACATATCCAGCAGCCTGTGGGCTCTGAA